AACAAATCTAACCAATTTTGTAGGATAAATCAGATCATCTTTTTCCTTTGGCCATGAACAGGACCTAAATTAAACCAATTCCAAAACCTTATCAAAATCATCCACTTTTTTTTTTTTTTTTGGATTTCCATAGCCAAATTGACCATACTACAGTGAACCAAACATCTTTAATGTGTTTCTTTCAAAACCAAGCCAGCATGCTGTTTGAAATGTTTAGTCCTTCCAATATGTTTTACCACACTAATATCCCACCCAAATCTTCCAAGAACTCTCCATAATAAACTAAAGTAAATATATCCTTAGGATCGCAATTTTTAGTGACATCAGCCTAAGCTGATATAGAGAATGCCATTAGAATGAATTAATGTAAACATAGTTAATAAGCACCGGCAATCAATGACCACATAAAGAATTTTATTTCTTTCTTAGACCATTAATTAACCAATAGGTAGGCACAAAAAATTATCATAACCACAGGCAACAAAGCTTCTAATTTTCAAGAGTACCCAGTCAAATTCAGAATTATAACAAAACATAAATTGCAAAAAAGCATAATTTGTAGCAGGGTTGTGTTATCTTGCCAATGTTCATTTTTTTCCCTTTTCGTTTAAGGATCTCCGTGTTTTGTTGGATTGGAAAACAGCCTGTGGGAGAGAAAGGGAATAGAAGGGAAGGGAAGGAGAGTAAAGGATTGTTATTAATTTTGTTTGAATAGATTAAGAAAGAGGGAGGAGAAGATTATTTATATATTTTATTTAATTAAATAAATTAAAGAAAAATAATTATAAAATTAATTAAAATTTTATTAATTTATATATTAAAATTAAACTTAAACTTAAAATATAAATTTTAGTTTATTTTTTTAAAAAAATAAAAAAAACAAAATAAAAGTAAATCAAATTCCCCTAAATTGAAAAGATTAAAAATAAGAAATTTGGAGGAAGGTTGTCCTCCTCCCTTAATGAATTTATCCAAACAAGAAAGAGGAAATACCTCTCCTTCGATCTCCTCCTTTTCCCCCTCAAGTCCAATCCAAACAAAGACTTTCCATTATTACTTTTCATTATTAGTTTCGTTTTACTAATTTTTATCCAAACATATCCAACATTTTCCATTTCCTTTTCGTAAAAAAAAAAAAATTCATTTTTATATGCGAAACAAGTTTTTTTACTCGTTTTCTATTTTGAAATAGAAATGGAGAGGGAAAACAACTATGTTTTCCAATTGCAAATAGAGATGGCAACGGAGCTCTCGTCCCCTCAAATGGAAGGGCCGGGGATCC